ATAACTTTATCTGTTACCAAAAGCCCCTGGCTACTTAACAAATATACTAAACTAAATCACTGAATAGTAAACATCATAACTTAAACTTCCAAATCAGAGAACAACTTCGGGTGTCTTGATGCAATCAAAAATGATTTAAGATCATTTAAAATACTTTTTATTTAAATTACATTGCATCAACAAGGAAGAAATAATGCTATTACAATATGTTTCTTCTCTAGTTTTGTATCTTTGTACCCTAAATCAGGCTTTGCTCTTAAGACTGAACTGTTGCACTTAAGAAAAATAAACTTAATTTTGGATGGACACAGTAGTGGACATCTGTTATTCAAGTATGTACAGTAACCTTCCTCAGGAGAATTGCCTCTCTACTCCACATGGTTCTGGTGGGAATGTCAGGCAATAACTTCCACAAATACAAGGGCAGTCATATGAGCCAAGCCAGGCCAACCACAGCACCCCACTTGATCATGGGTGATATGATTGGTTCAGGGATTAACATGTGACTCAAGCTGGGCCAATGAGGCCCTTCTCTGAAATATTATACAATTGCCTGGAAAGGAAAATTCTTATTCTTCTAGGGTCGTCTGCTAGGATAAAAGCCTGGTGCCATCTATAGCCATGTTGTTCCCAACCCCTCTATCATGACTCCCAGTCACATTAAAGAAGCCTGCCAGCAGTTGGAGAGATCAAAACACACTAAAATTCTTTATCCCTGAGTCCAGTTCCTCCATGCATTTCCTAGCTACGTGGGGGAAAAATTCCCTTCTTGCCTAAGCTTTTTGAGTTTTTTGTTTTTGTTTTTTTTGTTTTCTTTTTTGTCACTTGCTATAGTAAGAATCCTGCTTTAATGATTAAATATCCATGCAGTCCCCAAATAAGCTTTTATGTATATGATCACAAGCTCTCTGGGGCAGGATCCTGGCGCATTTGGAAGGATGGTCAATAGAGGCAAACACTTCAACAAGGACAGGAATACCCCATACAGTTCTTGGGGAATCAGCCCTCGACTTCCAGGACATCTCCTCTTGGGAATGCTTCAAAGACCCTGGCTTAGGTAAAATCTCCTTGTACTGCCTTCCTGCAGCACCTTACATTTCCCTTTACATTTCAGCAGAATATAATTACTTGTTTTACATTTGTGTTCTCTACCTTATTATAAGCTCCCAGGTAGGGACCAAGGCTACTTTTGCTCATTGCTCTGGTGCCTGGCAGAGCTCCTGGAACTTTGTGGGTATTTAACAGATATATGTAGAGCTTTATTGCAATGTTTTATTTTGAAGTTTATGATAAAACAATAAATCAACTTCCCCCTAGATTTCATTGACATCCCAATGGCAATCCCTGGGTCAGTAGCTTCAGCATCATGTGGGAGCTTGTTAGAAATGCAGATTTTTCAGGTCCCACCCAAGACCTACCAAATCAGAATCTACGTTTTTAACAAGATCCTCAGGGACTTGTATGAACATTGAACTTTGAGAAGCATTGTTTTATATTCTATTTCCGAAATCAAATAATATGTCTACACTACACATCTGGATTTAGAAGTTTCTTTTTAAATAAAATAAATGATAACAGCTAATATATATAATGAGTATTTACTATGTGCCAGGTAGTGTGCTAAAAGCTTTATTTGGAATATGTATTTTAATCTTGCCAGCAACCCTTTGGTGGAGGAACCATTATCAGCCCTTTTTACAGAAAATAAAAATGAGGCTTAAAGAAACTCATTGGACCCAAAATAGTGATTTAAGTTTTTGGTGTAACAATTCCTGAGTGCTCAGGCTGGTTCTGAAGTAGTGTTTTCTTGGAGCTGTACATAAAGGATGCTAACTGGACATCATCAGCTGTCATACTGAAAACTCATGCCAGCTAATGGATTATGGGTGGGGCCATTATCTTGTGGCTGAAAGATAAGGTGGGCCATGGGGTGGGGGCTCCTGAATATGTGCAGGACCTTGGACCTATGGGAAGTTTGACTGGAGACAGGAAAAGCTACAAAGTGTTGACTACAGAATCTGCTTGGCAGTCCTTTGGATGTGTTTGACCTGCTCTAGCAAGTTTCTGTGAATTGTAGAGAAAAACAAATCCTCAGTTCTTTGGCAATCTTAGAGAATCTCAACTGCTCAAGAAGACGTCCCAATGAAAGGATTTTGATAATGATCTGGTCCCGAAAGGACTGCTCTGGTTTCTGTTTGTTTGTTTGTTTTTTGTGTTCTTCCTGGATCAAAAGTTGTAGACACTTTGGAACTCAGTCACTGAATGAATGGATATTGTCCAAATTGGAAAGGCTGCATGGTGGAAAGAAACAAAAAGGGATGTTTTTGAATTTAGAAAGATCTGGGTTCAAATCCTTCTTGAGAACGTCACTTATTCTCTCTGAATTTGTAAAAGGGGCAATAATGAAGCCTTATTTATAGGACTAAAGTACAGATTGAATTAGATCCTCCATGTAAAGTCCTCAGCATAGTGCTTGGGCCCATAGGTGGGCTATCTATCTATCTATCTATCTATCTATCTATCTATCTATCTATCTAATCATATAATTCCTTGGCATATTTGAAGGAAAAATTGTTTTATTTCAAGTTCCAGTAGAATCCTTATGATGCTCAGAAAATTATGCAAGTATTTAGCCAAGAATTGAGGCAAAACAGCAATAGTAGTGTAGACTTTCTCAGAGCTTACTGGGTTCAGAATGTGTGACAGCTTAAATGAAATGTATTTAAAATTATAGAATTCATTTGCAGGAGTCACAGTTTTTCTTTCATAGAGTAGCAGCCTTTTACATCGTTTTTTTTTTTTAAGAGACTGTAATTAAACAGAACATTTAATTTCTAATAATGCCACCAGACAGAAAGCATAAGTCCACCAAAATGCCATATGCCGAGTCCCATAGCTTCTTGAAGTACAGCCTGACTAAAGAACTCTGTAGCTGTCCACCCCAGGTTACACAGGTGACTCCAGCTGTGCCCTGCCCCCTCCATCAGTTGGTTTTGCATACCCATCTGCATGTTTTTGCTTTGTTCCCCCTAAGAAAATTGAAGAGGGAAGGGGAGGGTAAGAAAAAAAGATGTAAAGGTCAGGGAAGAAGCAATTACGATGATTGCGATTTAGGTCTGCTTTGCCTAGAAGAGGTCCGGGACATACCAAGCTTCAAACCATCTCTGCTTTGACCTTAACCTTTTAGGTCTAGTTTTATTCTCTTTCTGCTACCCAGTTCTTTCTGTCCATCATGGTATGGACAGGATGATTTTTCTGGAATGTAAATTACCAAGCTATTCCCTTGCTTAAAAAGCCTTCACCTTTGGAAGTGAGACCTGTGGAGTTTTTCCCTTGAAAAATCCATATGCATGCAAACATTGGCATAGATTCCAGGTTAAGAACCTCTGGCCCAGGAGATATAATCTGAACCCCATTATTAAGGCATATATCAGACCTTGCCTCCTGCATGCATTGCCATCATCAGCACCCATTACTGCCATCATTGCACCTTGTCTTGCAATCACACTGAATTACAGAGTATTTAAGAGTGTGGCCTCTGTCTGGGCTCAGGTTCTGCCTCTACCACTTACTCTGTTAGGAGTGTGTTTTTAACCTGTGCTTCAGATGGCTCCTCTCTAAAATGTGAATAATAGTAGTATCTAACTCATAAGGGGTTTTGAGGATTAAATGAATTAATACATATAAAACACTTATACCTGGCACATAATACACATTGAATAAGAATTAGCTATTTTTTTAAACAATTAGCTATTTTTATTAGCTATACAGTTTTGTGAATTTGCACATATTCTATCTAGGATGCCTTTCCACTTTCCAATCCCAGCTCCCTTTCACTGATTCTGATTTATCTTTCAAGATGCATTCAAGCTCACCACCCTTGTGGAAACGTCCATGGTTTTCTGATAATGCACTCTTACACATCACTCTATCAATTGGTGTTACCGTGTACTGAATTTGTAATTTACACTTAGACACCCATTTGCATATATGCTCCATAAGGTTAACAGCTACTTCCCTCTTGTTTACTAGTCCCTGGCTTTCACAACTGTACCTGGCATATGGTAGGCTCCCACTAAGCACTTGTCTAATGAATGAATAAATGAATGAATGGATGAGTGGACGGACGGATGGATGGATGAATGAATGAATGAATGAATGAATACCTTCTCTTTCAGGGAGAGAAAGGCTCATGTGTTTTGAACATAGGTTTGTGAGTCTTCAAATACCTCTTGCTAGCTTGGTGCTTGGCATGTGCACAAAACTGCTTTCTGAATTGATCTGAACTGCATTCAACTTTGATTAAATGAAATATGTTTCATTACCTTTTGAGGATTTTTTAGACTTAAAAACAATGATCAAAAGCATGTATTTATTAAAGTTTTAAGTTAAAGCTTTCCTCAAAATATGCTCAGAAGTTTGGGGACCAAACAAGAAGAAAATTTCCAAAGCCAGAGAACTCTCTAAGATCTTTCCTCTCATGAAACTCCAGCAACAGCCTGTGCTTAGCCACCCTCTGCGTGCATCCTGTCTCATCACACGATACGTACAAGAACAACATGGACACAACTTCTCTCTGTCTTGGCTGATAAACATTCATCAAAGAACACAAACTTCTCATTAGGGCAGAAAACAGAAAAAATAAATGAAAAACAAAGAGGAAGAGTAGTTCGGTTCAGTAACTTTTGTTTTTTTTTTAAGCACATGAGGCCAAATCACTGAATCCTGAAACCAAAGATGAAACGAAGCTCCGCAGCAAACCAGAGTTCTGTTCCTTCAAAGCTTATGCCTTTACATAAATTCTGCTCTATAGAGGTCAACATCTAATGGGCAAGAGATATAGTTAGACAGCACAAATTAACTCCTTAAGTATCATTGCAACCCCACATCAGTCTTTGGGAGCCCATACGTTAAGGAGCTCTTAAAAACAAAAACGAAAACAGAAACTCAATATAACTCAACAGTCCTGATAGTTTGTAATGCATATACAGTTGGTTCACCTGCATCCTTTTGATTCTCTATTTGAAAGAGAGAGCACAACAAGGAGAGAAGAGAGAGAGAAACAAGAACACATATGCAGGATTAATGAGCAAATGGACCAAAATGCCCCCCACTTATGTGTGATACATGATATTGGAAGGAAAAGGTTGCCCTTGGGTTCCCACCGCCCCGAAGCGTGGGGGCCAGCAAAAAAAGGCTCCTTCACAGAGGTGGAAAATGCTGCACAAATAGAAAATTAGTAAAATTAAGTTTAATGTGAAATCAAGCTATGAAACATACACGAACTCTCCAAGTGACAATTAAGTCATATGTTCTAGCCAGAGCTTAGAGGACAAGGACAAGTCAAAATCTCCAGAGAGAACAAGGAAAAGCTTCCCAGCTTGAAAGAGAATAGACAGGAGGCATATAAGATCTAATTTTTACAGAGAATGGACCACCTTGCGTGATCTTATACCCAAAATAGTTTGACATCTTAAACATGGAAAAGAAGGCATGATTTTGCCCCAACTGTCCTTTATCTGACACCTAACGCATTGCTCCCGGCCTAGCGGCTACCTTTTCATTGTGTACCAGTGACAAGCACTTTACATATTGGGGTTACACACAAGCAAAGTAAAAATGCATTCAGGTCACAGACAGAGAATAACTGAAAAACTTACGGACAAATCTGAGTTTACCACAAACAAATGGCTTAATTGTCTAACCTGTTTTAGGCTGATAAAAAGTGACTGGACTTCTCACACTGGGTTTCACAGACAGAATCAACAGACAAGCCAATGCTAAAAAACTTGAAGCAAGGAGAGTGAGTTGGTTTGGATCTGGATTTTCTTGAAATAATGAAAACAGAAAGAGTGAAGACAGCATGGCGAGGAGGTGGTAGGTACTCACGAATGGTTAAATCCATCACTTGGGAGGCCAAGCAGAAGACAGGATGCTCATACATTTCTCTCTTTTTCCCTATAAAAGAGGATTTGGGCATGCAAGAGGCTTAGGTCAGAGGTAAAGAGGTTAAAGGTCATAGGTTAGAGGAATACGTTACATTAGCTCAAAGGAAAATAGCCACAGAGTATTTTGGGATAAACACAGGATAAAAGAAAAAGGAGTTTCAAAATTGGAGATCTACTGGATTAACCATTCAGCATGCCGTGAGTCACGTGAGTCACGAGAGAGATTGTGACCATGATTTTACACGTCTCTTTAGAATTGTTTGCAAGAGTACAATGACCAAAAACATCATGAGTAAAGGGAAACAGAATTTCATTGATTTAAGGCTCCAAGATACTAAGGATTTCAGACTTTAGTATCTAAGGCTCTTGAGGTATTTCTTCATAAACATAGTCTCCAGCAATATCACTACAACTTCTTTCCAAAATTCTCAGGGGACTAAGCTGTTAGTGCTCACAGAGGGGCTCAAATGTAAAAATGTAAGATTTCTTTTCTGAGCATAGGATCGGAACCTTGTAAAAGAAAGTTGTTTGGTAGTAATATCTTCAAAGCTGCAATGTCTCAGCCTACGGTGGACTATGTTCATGAAAGAAAACCTGATACATGCAGCCAGAGGATGTTGGGTTGTCTGAATTAACAATCCCAGCATGCTTTGAAATTGGTGTCACAGCCACTTTTGCAGAGGTAACATCACAAAGTGGCTGAGCCAATCACGGACAAGGAAGGAGAGAAGCGGAAGAGAGCAGGTAGTGTGGAATGAGGTACTTCTCTGAAAAGAGAGTTGGAAAAAAAAAGATTGGTTTCTTCAAAGAATCCCCAGACCTAAAAGTCACAGTGCAAAAGATAATTAACACAACCAAGAAGAATTGAGGCACAAAAGGAAATTACAGATCAGCTGATCTACTTTGGAAATGAATGCATTTTTACTTACAGATCTTAAAGTTTGTTTTTGGATATATTTATCTGAAAGAAGAGAGCAGATCTTACCAAAAGACTAGTAATAGCTAGACCAAGGCCTACGAGGCAGCAGCCATGGCAACCGAACGTTTCTTGATCCCATCCCATCTCTGGCCTTGCCTAGAATTATTAGGTACCTGGTTGACTTTACCAAATACAACCAATCATTATGTCCTGGGAAGGTAAATGCTAGAACAATGATTTGCTAACATAGCCCTTTAATGATCTTCTTGTTCCTCTATTTTTGTCACTCATTACCAAGTCAAGAGTTGATAAACGTCCTTTTAGTGCCCAATTCTTAAGTGTTTCTCCCTGGGTGCATAGCAATGAATTCATTACCACTGGTACACAATTTGCATTGTCAGACAGACAAAATTGAGAGAGGGAGGACATGTAATGTACAGAACACTGCGATTTGACATGATCTTAACCTAATTCTCTAAGGAAACAAGGACTTCAGCAGGGTAAGTGATAGGGTTTTGGTGGTTGGTTAGACTTTTTTTTTTCCCCAGTCAAGTCCTGAAGGCAGACAATGGGCATTTGCTGGTTTTAGTCAGGTGTTTCACATGTGAGAGAACATCAGATTCCAGAATGCGGACACACTGAGTTTTGCACACAGAACTTCCACATTTATACACTTACACCACTGGTCAAGTTGGGTGTGGTTTTCAAATCACCCTATAGCAGCCAACAGGGTAACAATGAAAAGTGATTAATACCTTTGCAAATGAATAGGTCCCAAAGAACCATATCTTCTCAAGTAGAGTTTACTCAAAGTGTCTTTTGGGTGATTACTTGGTCATCAGTGCCTGCTTCCCTAAAACTTGAGAGGGCAGTGGTAACAACCATCCTAGGTCTGGAGCAACAAGAATGAATGAGATCTAAAGCAAACCTGGAGCCATCAGAGACAGCTGGACACTAACCTGCCATCAAGTTTGAAATGTTACCAAAAGACAAGATACTTTCAAGGGGCAAGAAAGAGTTAAGCAAAATCTTGATGTTTCGTTCCATGCTTGTTCTACCTCCACAGTGCTTTGTTTTTCTCTACTTAAAGAAGTTAACAATCCTACAGAACTCTTTCATAGGAAAACAGTCACAGAGCAAACTTAGTGACAACACAGACTCTCAGGAGGACCTTAGTTATCTGATCACATCCTATATTCAGTATTCTTCCCCTACAAAGACTGTTCCCTGCGCCCCTGTTCTTCATTCATTTATCTGGCCACAGCCAAGGAAGTGTTCACATTTCAAGTGCTTTCAAGTTTCAATTTAACATACTCAGATGGACCACTCTTTTCTGGTGCCCATTAGAAAAGACAGATTCTTCTTCCCCAGGGAGGTATACCAAAATTTAAATTAAAAAATGGGGGCAGAAGGGAGCCTTACCTTCGATTTTAGCATATTCTGATAGCCGGGAATAGTTGACTAAAGCAGCCTGCTCTAGACATTTCCGGATGACTGTTTTTACCTCCTCTTGTGGTACTGGGGTCACGATATCTTTCATCAAAACCTTTCAGTGGAAAGAAAAAAGATTATTAAGATGGTTCAACCAAATGTGTTACTCATTTATATTTCTTAAAGAGCTCAAGTTTAAAATGAGTTGTGAATGCCTCCTTGTGACTTAATATTGATTGAGAGCCATCGTTAAAAAGAAAACACAGAACTGTAATGCACAGTTAGGATGGCAAAGCCCATCTATGAATCGGGGAAGGGCCAGGAACATATCTTCAATATATGCTAACTATTTGGGAGTCTGGAGATAAAATATCTAGAGTTTTGGCAGTTTCCTTGCGTTTATTCTGGTATTTGATGAATGGTAAACGAAGCCTTGAAAAATGACAAACTAGGTCATTCAACTACAATATTTCATTACGATTATGTTCGTGTCTGTATCTATGTAATCTGTCTTTTACTTTCATTCTTACCCTTTCCAAGAGTGATAGAGTAGCTTTTAAAGCACCTTCAGGTCGACCAAATGGAAAGCAATACCTAAAAAAGAGAAAATTCTTCAGGTTGCCCAAATATATTACATTTTAGCATGAAATATGCTGCAATTTGATTCCTATAGCAACTCTTTCTGAGGAACAGAAAATGCTTTTTATTTTGTCACGTTGTGTTATGTTAATCTGAATTCACACCATATATGTGTGTATATAATGTATATATGTGTATGTGTGAATAATGACTAAAGAGAGACTCTGCAAATGTCTGCAGCAGAAAAGAATATTTAGAGTGATGACATAAGGCTCTGTTTAGATTTCTATTGTGAAGGAAAACCATTTGTTAGCTCACATGTGACCTTCTATATGATTATAGAGACCAGCAGTAAACAAAATATTGGTTGAAATAGGCTAAATCCAAACACACTTACTAAGTCTCCAAAGGATTACTATAGGAAATGAAGGAGTGTATTTTGAGCAAGTTTATAATTTTGCTAAGTGTCCTTCCTTGACTGTGGTTTTTAATTGTTATTGGATCTTTTGTTATTGGCAATACCTCTTGCATATAGTGTGTAATCAATAAAAATTTGTCCAGGAGGATTTTGGTGGTGCAGATGGAACTATGTCATGGATTCCTAAGAGTTTTTCAGGCTGTCGCAGATCCTTCCAGACACTGTTCCTCATGGTACAAAGGGACCAGCAGAGACAACTTAAACTCAGAGTATGTCCTATGTAGGTGTCGGTGGGTGGTCTAGCACAAGTCCTTAACTCTCTCAGCTTCAGTTTAATTTATATTTAATGGGGATTATAACAACGACCTTACCAAGTTGTTCTGGGAATAAAAAACTGAGTTAATGCCTAACTAGCCTCTAGTCCTGTATCTTGACCCGTGGGAAGTGTTTAATAAAAAGGAACTGTTTATTTTGTTATTTTAAACGTTCTTACTATTTTTGAGTTACTATTTCAGGATTTCTAGTCCAGAACCACCAGCGCAGCATTACAAATGTCTGATTTGCTACAAGGGAGAAGTGGGCTATGTGGTGCAAGGCTGAAACCTTGGACACACTCGCTGTCTTGCATGTATGGGGAAGAGTCAATCTGCCAAGTCTGATCTAAGTTTCTCTCTTTTCCTGCATAGACAGCTAGTCCTGTTTCTGAGGCAAGGGAGAAAGTGGAGACTCTCATGTGGGTACCACTGCCTTCCTTCCCTGTTCATATGATCTGATTCCCAGGACTTTTCACTGATATAGGAACCTTGAAGTAACTTCACCTTCAACTTTGTAATAGATTTTAAAAGAATAGATTGATGACCAGGGTCAGCTTGCACAAGAAGGGCTCTGTCCTTTCAGTGGAAATAAAATGCACTTAAGATTGCAAAGCCTTCTGGCTATCGTAGAGCCCTGTCCTACTGGTTTTTGCTTCCATTTAGTTATTCATAAATCTCCAAAGTGTCTCTGATAGGTTAACAGTCTTAGAAAATCAAGCCCTTTATTTGCCCCTCCCCGGTCTCACTCTCCTAATAAACCCCTCAACTCCAGATCCTCACCTAAAATGTGTAATCTGATTTTCCAGCAGAACTCGGAGTCTCTCTTTGATTTCTTCGAAACGTTCCTTCTCTTCAACAGTCACTGTTCCAATTCCATCAGGCCTGAAAGAAGACATGTCATGAAGTGACGGGAACCTCATATACTGACACCATGAAATCAAATCTCTAGCAGGAGGAAACTGTCCATTTTAGAAGAACAACTACAATGATCGATGTGACCTTAGGAGAAGTCCTGCTTTTCAGCGCTGGCTACTAAGGGACATGGGGTATTTGGGAGGTTATCGTCTGGAGACATTTGTAGAACTGTCGCTCACTTATTGTGAAATGGTAAAATATACAAACTGGTGGCTGTAAGGCCAAGTTCCTAGACCTTTTGTTCGGCTCACGGCTTCTTAAGATTTTGAACTATTTGCCAGCATTTTCGAAGTTAGGAAAGTCTTATAATGCAATTCTTTTGAAAATTTGGAAAAACTGGCATTAATTGGTGAGTGCCAAGTAACAACTTCTTCCTTAGCTGGGGCAGGCACTCACCTGTCCACATCTCTAATTTGTAGTACCTACCTCTTTTATAGGCACTTAGGTTTGGGACCCCTGAATGATTCAGAAAGACTTATGAAAACCAGGTGCCTTGTAAATGTCCGTCTTTCTCAGTGTTAAATGTTCTTAAGTGACTCAATTTCCAGCTTACAATTATAGATGTTCAGATTAACTTAAGCACTCATGTATTAAGTGAAGAAACAAATTTAAAAACATTGTGAAAAGTAAAAGACATTAATGAAAGAAATTAAGGAAAACACAAATCAGTGGAAAGATACCCTGTATTCATGGGTTGGAAGAATTAATACTGTTAAAAGGTCCGTACTACCACAAACCATCTATAGATTCAGTGCAATCCCTATCAAAATTCCAATGGCAGTTTTTATAGAAATAGAAAGAACAATTCTAAAATTTATATGGAACCATAAAAGACCCAAATAGCCAAAGTAATCCTGATAAAGAACAAAGTTGGAGACCTCACCATTCCTGATTTCAAACTTTATTACAAAGCTATAGTAATCAAAATCATATGGTACTGGCATGAAAACAGATACACAGGCCAAGAGAACAGAACTGAGAGCCCAGAAATAAATCCTTGCATATATGGTTAACTAATATTTTTGACAGGGGAACCAAAGATACACAATGAGGAAGAATAGTCTCTTCAATAAATGGTGTTGGGGAAAACTGGATATTCACATGGAAAAGAATGAAACTGGACTCCTATCTTACATCGCTCACAAAAAAATGAGCTCAAAATGGATTAAAGACCTAACTATAAGACAGGAAACTGTAAAAATCCTAAAAGAAAACATAGGGAAAAAGAGCTCTTTGACATTGGCCTTAGCGATGATTTTTTTTGATATAACAATAAAAGTACAAGCAACAAAAGCAAAAACAGACAAGTGGGACTACATCAAACTTTTTAGACTTAGTAAGTGTGTTTGGATTTAGCCTATTTCAACTAATATTTTTTTTACTGCTGGTCTCTATAATCATATAGAAGGTCACATGTGAGCTAACAAATGGTTTTCCTTCACAATAGGAATCTAAACAGAGCCTTATGTCATCACTCTAAATGTTCTTTTAGCTTCTGCACAGCAAAATGAAAGACAAAAAGAAAACCTATGGAATAGGAGAATATATGTACAAACCATCTATCTGATAATAGGTAGCAGAAATATAAAAGTCATAAAACTCAATAGCAAAAACCCAAATAATTCAATTAAAAAATGGGTGGAGGATTTGAATAGACATTTTTCCAAAGAAGACCTACAAATGGCCAAAAGATAAATTTAAAAAACAGTAAGCATCAGGGAAATGCAAATCAAAACCACAATGAGATATCACCTCACACCTGTCAGAATGGCTAGTATCAAAAAGACAATAAACGTTGGTGATGATGTGGAGAAAAGGAACTCTTGTGCACTGTTGGTGGGAATGCAAATTAGTGAAGCCACTGTGGAAAACAGTATGGAGTTTCCTCGAATAGTTAAAAATAGAACTATCACATGATCTAATAATTCCACATCTGGGTATATATCTGAAGGAAAGGAAATCACTGCTTTGAAGATATATCTGCACCCCTATGTTCATTGCAGCATTATTTACAACAGCCAAGAGATGGAAACAACCTAAGTGTTCATTGATGGATGAATGGATAAAGGAAGTGAATGGATAAATATATATATTATGGAATATATCTATTTTTATGTGATGGGATATTATTCAGGCATAAAAGAAAGGAAACCCTGCTTATGACAACATGGGTAGACTTGAGTGCATATGCTAAGTGAAATAAGTCAGACAGAGAAAGACAAATACTCTGTTCTTAGATGTCAAATTTGAAAAAGTCATCCTCATAAGAATACAGAGCAGAATGGTAGTTGCCAAAGCCTGAGGGGTGGGGGAAATAGGGAGCTGTTGACTAAAGGGTACAAACTCCCAGCTATAAGATGAGTAATATACAGCATGGTGACTACAATGAACAGTACCATATTTATATACTTGAAAGTTGTTAAGAGAGCAGATCTTAAATGTTAACACTCACACACAAAGAGTGGTAATTCTGTGAGGGGATGAAGGTGTTAATTAACTTTGTCCTAATAGTCATTTCACTATATATGTATATTGAATCATCACATGCCATACCTTAAACTGATATATGGTATATGTTAATACCTCAATAAAGCTGGAAAAAAAAGAGAACAAACCACATACGATGCTATCAATGCTAGTGAATTATTGCTCATTTTAATAAAAAGAAGGACCCCAGCAAAAATAAGTGAATTTCAGCTTAATCACAGTATTCTCATATTTCTAAATCACCATTAGGTTCACACACATTTTTCCTATTTGCTTTGGACCATTCAAGTTGAAAATACAAAGAGAAGCTGCATATTTATAGCCCAAATTTATCTGTGCCAAATTAGACATAGGATAATCTGACCCATTCAAAGACTTCAGCTTCCCAGATCCCATAGTGACTTGTTTTGACTACTGGCTGAGCCAGTTTGCAGATTGGTGTGTCACCATGAAACTTCTATTGGAACATTCTTCAGTTTGCAAATGCAAGTCATCTTGAGACCAAACAAATGGTCTTATTTATAGGCCTTCTCAAGGATCCAGCATAAGTTGGGAAAATCCTGTATACTAGACCAGTCTGACTGCACAAAAGACTTGGCAAATGATAGCAATGCACCTCCTGTTAGGGGTTAATTGGTCAGCTTCCCTTCTTTTTATATACTAAAAATGCCCTACGTGGGGGAAAAAAAATAAAACAAGAAAACTTCCCCTCCCCCACATATAAAAAACACCCCTAAACAGTAAAATTCTATAAAATCCGTTTCTTCACACTTCCCTGAACTTAAAGGAAGAAAGAAGGCCAAATGGCAAATATCAGGTAGGCTGTTGGAATCCGTGAATATGCCCTTATTTTAATATTTTCTGGAAAAATCTTAAATGCTAATATACAAAGTTTATTTAACAACATTTTTTTTTTTTTTTTTTTTACCATGAAATGTCCATGAATCTGTATTTAAGACTCAGGATGAATTCATTGGCCTCCACAAAATACATGTGACAGTTTTTTGTGGTAACCTCTCCTGTTTCTATTATAATCTACAACTTCCTTTAGGAGTGGCTTTTAGATTTAGATTTTGTTTACACAAAATACGGCTCACTAATGCACCGAACACATTTATACAATTGGCGTGTGCATGCACACACTCGATTTGGGAAAATGGAAGCCATTTTAAACATTTTGTTTCTGAGCAGGGAATTAGCCCAGAGAAAAATGCTATTAAATATAATTTACGAATCAGGGGCACCTGGGTGGTGCAGTCGGTTGAGCAACTGGCCCTTGATTTCGGCTGAGGTCGTGGTCTCAGGGTCCTGGGATTGAGCCTCGCGTGGGGCTCCATGCTCAGTGGGAAGTCTGCTTGAGATTCTCTCTCTCTCCCTCTCCTGCTGCTCCTCCCCCTGCTAGTGTGCACACACGCGCTCTCTCTCAAAAATAAATAAATAAATAAATAAAATCTCTTAAAAAGTATAATTTACAAATCAGAGAGGGGTTTACAGATGACAGGAAAAAGCATGAAAACCATTTCACATGGGCAGCCCAAAGATGTGTGTGGCTATTATTAAGAGATAAACCTCCCTGACAAAAATCATCCATTTTTCACTCAGTAAGCCTTCTAAGGCAATTATTAGGCAATGAGAAAGTAACTTCTAGGTTTGTTTTTGAGATGATAAAAAGTGAGCATTTAGTGTGTGCCTGGCCTTCTCAGTTAATCTTCACCACAAAGGGTATTATTATGAACATGAAATTTGATTATATTTCTTCCCCTTTTGTTCTGATGATTCACATTTGTGGTTATTTAAGGTAGCAGCCACTTCCACATCCCTGACAATCTCTCCTTCAACTCCTTTCTGAACACTATTAATCTCACTATTTAAAAAAGGTAAATGACTAAAAATTATTGTTATACTGTTAGGACGCCTGGGTGGCTCAGTCGTTAAGCGTCTGCCTTCGGCTCAGGTCATGATCCCAGGGTCCTGGGATTGAGCCCCACATCGGGCTCCCTGCTCAGCAGGAAGCCTGCTTCTCCCTCTCCCACTCCCCCTGCTTGTGTTCCTGCTCTCGCTATGTCTCTCTCTGTCAAATAAATAAATAAAATCTTAAAAAAAAATTATTGTTATACTGTTTTCTTAAATTTGCTTCTTAATTGCCTATATCCGTGTGAATGGTTTTCTCTTAAAATAAATGAAACTAACTTTATGTCTGGAAGGTAAGTAGTACAGAATTCACCAACAAAAATAGGTGATTAAAAAAGTCACGATTTTGACATGGAATGCAAATTTGTTTGCAGCTGCCAGAATTGTGCTGAAATGGTACAGGGGATAGAGGATATTATTTTACAAACTGAGGAAGAGACATGAAGGAATAATACAATTTGTCAAAGATCACAGGTTGGAACTACATCAGTTGAAAAGTAAAAATATCCTTTTTTTGGGCACCTGGGTGGCTCAGTCAGTTAAGCGACTGCCTTTGGCTCAGATCATGA